TAATTAATTATTATTAATGGCATTTTCATTAATTAACTCATATCTCCGTCAAAAAGGCGCATGGGCCCAAACCAACTTGGGGTTTTTCACTACTGACTATTCCCTACATGATGAAAATAGTCTGAGTTGAAAAGTTTTTAATCGCCTCGAGAGGTTCCCTCGTCAGTCATCTTTTTCAGTATAACTTTTTCATAACTAGAAAGATCTTGAGGCAAACTTTGTACCTTCTCCCATCTATGAAAAGTTAGCTTAAACGATGTAGGTCGCATTTTTCTCTAGTTATATATGTTCTGTCGCACTTAACGATCTTCTGCAAACCAATGAAGATATCGTGAATACACCAGTTTGTAGAGAATTGAAAGAGCTGTCTAATTATGGGTTGATTTCTTTATATGTTCCTATATCTATAGTGCCAGAGAAAAGCGCATGCGAACGATTTTAATGATGCTCTGTAATGTCAGCTTTCAAGTGAAGATCCTGTCTGGATGGAACGGCCTTAGTCACTCGGAAGCATCCAAAATCAAATGTTCGTAGTTTTATGTTGGAGGAAAAAAAAAGCGGGCCGATTCTTTAGCTTGTACGCGCTTGTCCTTTGAAAAACATATGTTTTTGGTGTAAATTATATTTTCAAACAGTGTTTTGGAGCTTGGTGGAATTGTTATCATTTTTTCTATAATTTTCTTTTGCACAGACCAAAAAGATTTAAAACGAGTTTGTCTACTTGTGTGATTTACAGGAACGTATAGCTATTATCAACAGACATCTTGTACACCTTGTGCAGTTGGTTATTTCACAACAGAAAATGGTTCAAGTTATTGTGATGCGTGCCCGCCTCGTCATTATTGTATTAACTCGTCGAAACTGCCAGCTAAGTGCCCTCCGGGAACGGCAAATAAAGAATTTGGACAAACTGCATGCAAGCCGTGTGAACCTGGAAGTTATAGTGCTACCTTCGGCGCCTACGTTTGTGATACTTGCCCAAGTGGTTCGCATTGTGCTAACGCAAATGAAATACCAAAATTATGCCCACCCGGCACATCTAGTAATTCTAGCCAAACTCAATGTCAGACATGTAAACCTGGTTTCCAAACAACAGAAACAGGCTCAAGATTTTGCGCTGTTTGTTCTCCAGGACATTACTGTCCTGATCCAGCGCTTCCGCAACAGTTATGTCCGCCAGGATCAGCCAACGATAAACAAGGAAAAATAATTTGTGATTTATGTTCAGATGGTTCGTATACAGATTTCGCTGGAGCCGCCTCTTGTCTCGTATGCCCACCTGGATGGATATGTAAGGCTGAAACAACAACTAAAAATATATCCACTTAATGCACAAGCTATTCAAGAAGAAATAACATTCGGCCAAATATAAATGGGAGGCTAAAACATTAACATGTTTCACTTGATCATATAGTGGATCTAAAAGCCATAGTTCCATCTTTATTTTTCATCTTTTTCGTCGACCATAATAGCTACAATAAATGTGAAAAAAGCTTTGAACAGCTAAATGAATTTTCAGTCTGATGTAATGTATATAAAGATTCCATCGAAATTCCTGACCCTTGTTTTTGGACGACGAAAATCTCGGAAAATGAAGTCCTACAGTTCGATCTAGAAATTCATTCTAGATAATTAGGGCAAACATCTCTGAACAAAATGAGACGTCTCCGAGTTCTCTTCGATATTTTTTCATGAAATACCATTCAGTTTACGAAAGGCCCTAGGGCTGTACCTTTCTTGACGCACCGTTAATTTCGCTGATTTTTATGGTATGGGACCTTTCGTAAATTGAATGCTGTTTCATGAAAAAATGTCGTAGAGAGCTCAGAGACGGCTCATTGTGTTCAGAAATGCTTCCACGAGATTTATTTGTAAAGAATTTCTAGATCGAGCTTGACGACTTGGTTTTTCGGAGGTGAGCAAATAATTTTTCCCATTATTTTTTCCCATAGACGCAGATGGATTTCAGACCTCGACATGAACGTGGCAGATAGAGCTCATACTCATACAGTTTTCGACAAAATTAGAATTTGTTTCTGCATATCGTTTGGGTTTCACAGTTATTTTACTGCGCACATGTGATATGGGTATGATCGATTTTTTTTCATAAATGACCCATTTTTCCTAGAAGAACTAGCCTCTATTTCCCATTACCGAACTAGTTTGCACAGTTTTCATTGCTTTACAAGAATATGGGTAAGACAACATCTCATTGTACTACATTATTAAATCTCGACTCTTCCTCTTACATCAATACCGATTAAAGACCAAGAACATGGTGACACCCATATCTCGGTAATCAGAAGGTATTAACCCAAACCCAATACAGATTTAGATGCGTCGCGACAAGCTCTACAAAACCTGATATATAGCTTTCTGCTTCGACATACGTTCGAAAACCGGCAGGGTCCTTTAGTAAATCCGTCAGCAACTAGGATAACTAGTCCATGGACTCTAGAAAAGCAGTCCAGTCCAGTCCGAGTCCAATAGATTAAGTACCTAATTCTCTAATGGTTTGTAAAATCCGGTGGGCTGTTTACTTAATCTATTTGACTTCACCTTCAGCTTACCGTCTTATTGCAGTTTTTGAATCGGTTATCAGTTAATAAATGCTAGAACAGCAAATGAAATGTGCTCGAACCCTACTGATCTTTTTATTGACGGTTATGAATAGACGAACAGAAGTCCCCAAAACAGTATTTATCAAGGTATTTTCTCCATAAAGTGATACTTATTACGCCAAAGCCAATAAAGCGATAAAGCCACACTCTGTACAGAAAAACATGTTATTCATGAACATGTGTACCTTTTAGCTAACTTACAGTCTGATGCGAACAGAATGAGAGAAAAACGAAAAATAACAAATTTAATTCAATTGCTCTATAAGGCAGATAAATCATTGAAGCTCGAAAAGTTAGGTGTGCACTGTGACTGTGTTAGTATGTCAAATTGAATAATTCGGAACATAAGGAGTAATGAATGAAGTTGAACTCAATAAAGATCAATTTTTATGAATAGAATAAAAGCTGCATAAGCGAAAATACTTTCTACTAATACTCAGATTGGGAAGACAGAACAGAGAGACAAGATTTTCGTTGTCGATAAGATAATCAAAATTTTTTGTAATAATCCTCACCGCTAAACATTAAATAGAGTCGAGAGGGGCAGTGTGAGTTGAAAAATTAGAATAAAATACTGCACAAGTACCGATCTATACGATTTTAGTTTGCTCTACAAGGTGCTTTGGACCATCCTATCGGAGAAAACCTTTATCAAACAGATATATCTGAATCTCAGCTATCTACTGATATAAAATTACCCGAGAATTCATTAGAATTAGTTAGTTCTAATAAATTGCAGTGAATATGCTTAAAATTATCAGAGCAGCGTGGCTCAGCCGGCTAGTGGGCAGACAGCGTACTTCAAAGATAAGGATTTTGAATCCCTGCAGCGGCGGTCCCATGATAGCCTTGAACAAGCTATCTAATGCTCATTTTCTCGGTACCTTTGGGCACAGATGCTGCAGGGTAACCCGATTTCAGTGACCATTGAGCTGGAGAGATGCGAATTAAAGTTAAAAAAAAATAAACAATTATGCTGGTTACTCCATCAGAAGAAATATAACAAATACTATGCCAAATGAAAAAGTTATTTCGACTCCTGAATTCTAGCCCATTTTTGAAAATCGTCAAAAAAGAGTGGGCTATTCCCTAATTTTTCGACTACTAGAATTATAAGTCTAACCAAACAAGCTCTCGGAGCACTAGAATGAAAAAAAGATAGTTCGTGCTAAATTATCCATTTATCCTATGGATGGAGGCAGAGGCGGTAGAACCATGAAGATCGTGCGTGTCTTAGCACTTACAGATTTTGAAAATTTTCGTTTTCTTCTAGCAGAAACTTATTTTTTCTTTACATTCTTGTCCTTGAGCATCGATAGTTTTAGAATCACTCCGCCATGTCTGAGCGAACCCAGTGTTCCGCTAAAATTTGAGCGATCAGTCGGAGAGTAGCGATACACTATAATGACAGAACCCTATCATATACAATCGTATAATAAACTAACGGTTTATATAAATACGTTGGAAGACTGCATTTTTCTGCGAAACTAGCTCGATCAATTGATATCATCTTTTAGATATATGTTAAAATTTTTAACATATACCTGGTGAAACAAGAAGAATAAAAAAGCTTCTTTAAAGAATGAGAAAAAATTTATTTTATCACCTGTCTATATAATATTTAAAGTTTAAGGTCAGCATATTAATGCAATTAAACTCAAGAAGTAGTTGATATTATTTTTAAAAAATTTTATTAAAATCGAACAAATAGATGAACTATTATGAGATTTTTTTTTTTTGTCAATTTGTTTTATACGAAGTATTGAAGACATATAGAAAATAATTAATGTCAATATTGTGGTGTTTTTATTCTTTTATCAGTTGAGAAAAAAAATAATTGAAAATCATAAAAAATATAAAAAATAACTTACATAGTTCAAAAATTTTCATAACATAAGAACTACATGCATTTGTTTTCTTTTGAAAATATTGGTTAGACAACTCAAAAACAAATTGTACAAGACTCTCTTATATGTTAGACAGTAAAAAACACGTGATAAATGACCGAGACTAATCCAGTAGTAAGTCAAATATTCTGTACTATTCATACTACGTAAAATACATTCTTCTATAAAACAATTCTCTACTTACTCTATACTACATTTATGTTATATATATATTTATGTAAGGTTAAAATAAATGATATCGAGTGCATTTTTTTTATTTTTTAACTATAGTTAATCAATGAATCAAGTGTTTTACATACACAATGGATTATGCAAAAAAGTATTGGTCTTTACAATTGTGGAAAAGATGAAATAAATTATCCGACAAAGTTTATAGAGCAATCAGCACCTATTATTTCTGAAAATAGTCCATCATCTATCACAAATGTAAGCGATTCAAGTCTAGGAAAATCACAGACATGGTCATCTGCTACTGAACTAGAAAATGAAGAGGAACATATATCAAGTCCAGCAAAAGAACCACCTAAATTAGTTAAGTAAGAATATTCATGATGCATATTCATATGATAAAAAGTAATAACAATATATTCTATATATTTTTTAGATCTAGTGTTTTACGTCAAATATTAACTTATAAGCAGTATCTATTGGGTATACTTATAGGCTTATTAATTGGTGGTTCTGTTGTGGGTGGAGCATTGTATGGGTCTACAAAATCCACAGGTAATAAATTTAATATTAATATCTCTGTACGAGGGCAACGACTTACGAGTCAAAAATGTGATCATAATTGCAGCTGTTTTGCACTTCATACTTTTATCTGTTGATATTTTGACCTTTTTTTTATATATGCGCATATATAAAGTTAGTATTGGCCTAGTCTTGATTTTTCTCTTTTTCGTTCTATTGTATTTTGTAGTAAGAATAGAGAAAGAAAGTAGTTGTTTTCATTATTTGTACAGTTATTCTGTTTACTGAAAATGATCAATTAAAAGGTTGAAATATCATCAAATAAAGGTATGAAGTTCAAAATAGTTGCAATTATTATCACATTTTTGATATTAATAGTTATTAAAAAATTCTATGAGAGTTCTTTTTATTTTTATTATTATCCGTCTTTTTCATTTATGACAAAAGTATGTTTATTTTTTTTTTATCTAGCATCAGTGACTAACACAACTCCATTAACAACAGATAATCCAACAATTGATCAACTTATTTCTGCAGCAGTCACCGTTCTAACAAGTAATACAAATAATAATTATACATGTGTTATAGTATGTGCTTAAAAAATACGTATTAAATCATCTATATAATCTAGGTTCTTCTACGACAGACTCAACACTAACTACAATTAGGGCAGGTTGAGAAACTAATTGACTGTGAACAATGGTTAGATTGGTAAGTTTTATTTCTATCAATCATATATCCCACGTTTTATATTTGCCAAACTCCAATATCAGTTTAATATAAGAAAATAATCATTAACAATATTATTTAACTATATTTTAATTTGAAGGTAACCTTCTCGAATGGTGCAATTATCATGATGAAAATTTTATCATATTACAATGTTCAATGCTGCGACTATCTTTTTTTTTCAATATTTTAATTTTCTTATATTATTTTTTCATCAAATCTTATTGTTTTCGATTATACAATTTATGATGTGAATTAGTCTTGATAAAGTTATCATTTGTCATCAATTATTAAGATAGAAAAGAGAAGAAAAAAGATAAAGACACACTAAAAAGACTATAGTGCTTATCTAATTGGATTTAATATTGATTGTCTATGTCATTGACTAACGGTGAAGTAATGAAAGATGAAACATTGAAACTCTTGTTTCGAAATGGTTAAAAACGTTTGAAATCAATATTTTTCATTTGTTTCAGAGAAAATTTATAAAGACTTGAAGATTTTACGATCAATTATCTTATCCAACCGGTATTCTATTTTCTTTTCTCTAGATCTGTAAAGGCGAACCGACGCCAATAGACATTTCTAAGGTGATTGTAGATCTTAAGGGGGACTCCAATCGGTTTCTTTTTCGTCAGTTTATTGAGGATATTTCAGAATATATATCCGAAAATTTTTTTTCAGTTTCCAGTTTTGTAGTTTTTAACAGAAAAAATGTTAAAGGTTTTTGCAGGTTTTCATCCTATTTTTAAAATTTCTATGAAAAACTTCTATTTTTGACATGAAAAGTTGATTCCAGCGTAATTTGATAAAGGACATGAAATGTACGCGCAGAAAAAATTGTTAAAGTTTCAGAATGAGGATTGAGGGCAGAAATTTAACTTTTAGTTTTTCAATGGAATTTTAGAGCTAAAAATATGTTAAAAAAGTCTTACAACTGTTATCCATCCCAAACTATAGAAACGGTAGTTGTTTTTTGAATAAATCAAAGATGATAAAAGATAGAGACTTGCGATTTTCAGAGTTTAGCCTATATTTTCATATGCAAAACTGTTTTTCGAAAATATTCGGAAGATCGGTTTTATGGAGGGTCTTTGAAAAACCAGTTCCAATCTCCGAAAACTGAGATAGCAAAACCTCTATTAGGTGAGATAACCAATTTTTTGGATATTTTTGAGTAAAATTAAAAAATTGATAAACCGGTCAAGATCCCTCTAAATCATGCGAGAATATCAAGATGTACTCTATTTTACCTGCTCAATACGACTTTTTACTTGAGAATAGCAAAAAGCATTCTTGTACTTCGAAAGATTTCTAGAAAATCTTTCCAAAAACTAAAGTATTTCTGTTGGTTTTTAAAGCTTTTATTGAACTGCATTATATTATATGTTGGAATGGATAATAGTTCCGCTTGATACAAGCACTTTGGAGCAAAACTCTTGGTATAATAGTTGTTCAAAATCGAATTCTAAAGTTCCTCATGAGCTCTTTTTCCACATTTATTTGTGAATTTAAAATTGAAAAATAGTAAATTTTATAAATTTCAAAAAACATAAATTCAGTTTGAATAACTCTTCTACCCAAAGTTTTGCTCCAGAACGTTTGTGTCAAGCAGAACTATTATCCATTTCGGAATCCAGTGCACTCTCTCGTTTTTGAATAACTTTTGTGAGAAAAGCGATAGAAACCTGCGGTTTTCAGCATTGTATAGCCAAGACTTTAAGACATGTATTTACAAGCAAAGACTAGTTTTGAAAAAATGTCAGCCATCGGATCTTTGGTTTTTCAGAAATTAAAGTAGAAATCTACTGATTAGTTTACATAGATAGATAGTCCGAAGTATCTTCTGCAAAATGCGATCTAAGCAACCTTTTAGTTTTGCTTGGTTTTGCAGAGGCAGATTTTTTTTCCAAACCACCAGGATTGGACTTTCTTCTAGTATGACAATCTTAAAAACACAGAATATATAGATAATTAATGCAACTGACTAACGTGGCAATGTTTATTTTTCTGTTAAAAGTAAAATAACTTTAATTGATGAGTTTCTTTAAAATTTCGGTTTTTAGCCTGGGACTACGATAAACTAAAACATTCATAAAACCATTAGTTTTCATTCAAATCACTTCAAGTTTTCAGATATATTTAAGTATACTATGTTTCATTTACCTTAACTTGTAAGGATTAGTTTGAAACGCCTTATGAGCGAAAGGATCTCTAGCAATCAGAAGTGTAGAAGTGATCTTTACTGAAAACTTGAAGTGATTTGAACGAAAATTAATGGTTTTATGAATGTTTTAGTTTATCGTAGTCCCAGGCTAAAAACCGAAATTTTAAAGAAACTCATCAATTAAAGTTATTTTACTTTTAACAGAAAAATAAACATTGCCACGTTAGTCA